CTATACTGTTTTCTATAGTGGCTCTACCAATTTGCAGTCTCACCAGCAGAGTATGAGGGCTCCTATTTCTCCGCATCCTCTCCAGCATTTATTACTTGTCCTGTTGATTATAGCTATTCTAACAGGTGTGAGACGGTATCTCATTGTGGTTTTGATTTGCATTTCCCTAATAGCTAGTGATGTTGAGTATCTTTTCATATATTTGTTGGCCATTTGTATGTCCTCCAGGGAGAAGTGTCTGTTTAGGTCTTCTGAACAGTTTTTGATTGGAATATTTGTTTTATTGTTGTTATTACAATTACAGTTCTTAATTCATATAATTTCTTAAGCAATGACTCATACATGTCATATGTGAAAAACAGTGGTAGCTTTTTGAAAAATGAATTTTTCAAATGAATTAGTTCATTTCAAAAAAATACTCTGCTGTTTATAAAGCTCAAAATTATCACAGAAAATTTAACACACACACACATCAAACTTTTCACAATAGTTATCAATCATTGGTAGGACTGTGACTCAAAATTTGTCTTAAACTATTCTAAATTATCTAGATGCTCTACTGCAGGGTTTGTCAGATTCAATACTATTGGCATTGTGGGTCAGATAATTCTGGGCCAGAGGCTCTCTTGTCTATTGAAGGGATTGAGAACATCCCTGGCCTTTGCGTACTAGATTCCAGTAGCACCTCTCCCTCTCCAGTTGTGATAGTCTCCAGACATTCCCAAGTCCCACCTCCTCCCCCGCCCAGGAGGTGAAATGGCCTTGGCTGAGACCAGATGCACTATAGTGAATGAAATTGTAATATATGTAAAATGCTAGATAGATGTAAATATAGATCAGTAGAGTATATCTTGTGTTTTTCGTATATCATAGACATTTTCTCAAGGCATTAATTCTTTTTTCAAAAACATCCTATAAGAGCTGAATAAGTTTATAGTATGGAAATCTAGTATCTTATTGGAGATTGAGGTTGTTTCAGGTTATTTAAAATAAATGACACTATAATAATCACCTTTGAGCACACACACGCATACACACTATCTTAAACTGGAGCACTAGAAAAGAAAAAGGAGGACACTGAAGACATGGCAATGGGGTTAGAGAGGGACTTCTTAGCATAAATTTGAGATCTCACAGAAAATAAAATCAGTAAGTGAAAGACATGCATATATATCACATGTACTAAAGAGAGCAAGGATAGATGGGGGCATTTTAGTTATTACTTAGTCAAAGATCATCAACCATGACTAAGGCCCAGATTCCAGAAAGGAGGAAAGATCTTAGAGAGTAAACTGAAATGACTCCCAAGAGGAAAAATGGATCCATGAAACTGCTGAAAGTTGACCTATAGAATTAAGAGAATGACTGTGAAATAAGTTGAATTTCATATCCCTAAGTGACTAGGACAACAGAGGATGCAGTGACCAATATGGTCAGGACAGGATCACTGATTCTCACTGTGTCCCCAATATGCAAGACTACCCTATTCCAGGAAGTGGCACTACCATTCACTCAGACACTATGGCCAAAATCTTGGGAGTCATCACTAATTGTTATCCTTCCCTCATGGCATCGCAGCTGTTCAAGTTTTCTCAGCTAAGGCCCCAGACATTGTGGAGCAGAGACCAGCCAAAAAAAAGCCATTCCTACTACCATATTGAAATTTCGGCTCTACAAAATACATGAACATAATAAAATGTAGTTCCACAACACTATTGTGGAATGGCAGGTGACCAGGACACATTCTCTTCATTTATTCTTCATTTAAGTCCACCCTACGCTTCATCAGTATTTCATTTTCCATATTCTATTTTTATTCAGCTCCTAGTCCATCTTTCATAACTTTGTATTATTCATTTCATTCCAAACTTCATTCCATTATTTGATGATATATTTTTAATTTACAGTGCATATTTCACGGTCCATTCATTTCAGGCCACTGAATAATTTATTCCATTCTATAGGCATTCCTATTCAATCTTGATTTCCTTCTATTTTATTTAATACTTAATTTCACACTATATTCCATTTCATTCCTTTCCTCATATAACATTATATTTTTCTTTTATTCGCTATGCCATTGGATACATATTTCTATTTTGCACTCCATTCCACTTTCCCATATTTCATTCAGTTTTCCATTCCATATCCCGTTCAAGTCCGAATTTCATTCTCCATTTTATTCCAGTTTCCACTACAGTCTCAATTTCATCACAGTCTGTATTCCATTTTAAATCCATTCTTCACTCCATATTAATTAACAGTTCAAATACCATTCCATTATATTTTTTAGTTGTGTTTCAGTCCAGTTGGTCATCTGCTCCAGTAAATATCCCATTCCATTTTGCCTAAAGTGCTAAAACAGCAACTTTTAAGAGAATCACTTACCAATATTTTTATCAAAAAATTACAAATAAACCAAAAATTTCCTGTTCTGGGAATTTATCCATAAGATCACATTTGAGAATATGAACATTTTTTAGCAAAAAGCATATGTTTCACATTGATGTGTTATAGAGAGTGAAAAATTGGAGACAATATAAATGTTGATCCACATAGCAATGTTTGAAAATGTAAGCTTCTTTCATAAAAGCAATATTTTGCTGTTACACAATGGCCTTGTGGAAATTTATATATTGAAAAACAAAGTGTGTTTTCTGGACCCAAAAAGCCCAATACAAACGATATGTATGCAAAACTAATGCTATTTGTATAAAAACAAAACAACTATGAATGATTTATGAATGGCCATTCAACTAAAAAACAATTAAACATACCCATTATTTGCCTGTGGGTAATTCTAGTTTTCCTACATTTGCTTCCCGGTTTTCAGTACTGAACATGTAGTCTTTTTGTACAATGACTAAAAATCAATGTTCAAATGTTGAACTTCAAGTCTGTGCACCACAGCATATTTATATTAACAAAAACAAGAAAAAAGGCCAAATTAGCGGATTATTATGCAGCCGATATAAATGAAGATGCGTATCTGAGAAGAGCAATATTTGTAATCCTAAGCAATTCTAGCTCATACTTTGGGAGATAAGGCAGGGGAAGTATCTTACTGAGAATTCACGTCCCTTTCTGGTGCATGGCACCAGGGCTGAACAATCCGAGCCAAGACAGTGTGGGCTCCACCCCTTTTCTCACCTTTAGGCGGCTCTCAAAACAAACCAGTGTGTGGGGACATCCAGATGCCCGGAAAGTTCTGGCACTGTCCCCCACTTTGGGTCACACAGCGGGGACAGTGTCCATGCCAGATGCCAGAGGAGACACCTGGCTGGGGGATATCTCCTGCCGGCCAGTGTGGCATCTTCTTCAAGCCATCACTTGAGGTTGAGCGAACAGAGTGGGGCTGAGAAGCTAAGCTGATTTGGGGCCACTCGCATTGTTTATATGGACAGCCCTACCTGTGGAAACACACCCACATACAGGCCTGGAGAAGGATGGGGAGTTCATGTAGTGGACCAGCCTAGAGGACTCCAGGGCGGGTGGAGCACAGCCGTCTGTTTTGCACCAGAGGGAGCTAGGTTGCCGTACTCCGGAGATTGAGTCACATGGCCTAGAGCTCGCCAATCAGAAGCCGACACTCCACCGGGTCCCGCCCAGCTTCCTCAGTCCTCCAGCTTCAGCTCCAGCCAGGCAGCGTCTTCAGCCGCGCGCTCAGGTTTCCGGTCTCTGCGGGAGAACCTGGGATCATGGCCACTCAGTCGTGCTGCGAGAAGGAGCAGAAGCAACAGCAGGGTGAGGTGCCCGCAGGGCCGAAGAACCAGATCTCCGTTGTCCCTGGCGGCACCCACGAGCCCGGCAGCCACGTTGCCGGTGTCTCCACGGTCTCGAGCGACCCGTCTCCGTCAGGTGGTGGCGCCCCGCGCCATGGCACAGCAGGTGCCTCCTCCTGCACCATGGCCGCCGCCGGCGCCATTTCGTCCACTGCGGAAGAGCCAGGGCCGCCCTCCATGGACTGCGAGCAGGAGAGTGGGCGTCCTGAGCGGCAGGGCGGCCCGGGCCCCCACGCAGTGCTGAGATGTGTGGGGCTCGAGATGGGCCAAGGTCTACAGACCGCATACGCAGGCAGCATGGTCGCCGTGGGGCAAGCCACGAGCGGCGCTGTCCCCGCCAGCGGGCGTCCGACCCAGACCAGGGGCTCAGCGAAGGGCCGAGGGCGGAAGCGGCCCAGCCGTGCAGAGACTGCCCAGGCTCAGAAGCTTCCATGGCGCTGTCTGTTTCCGGAGGCTCCTGCACCTTTGCCGCCATCTTCTTCAAGGGCTCAGCCCAGCAGCCATAGCCGCCGTGCACCTCAGGCTTCTCCGTTGAGTGGCGGAACCCAGCCAGGCCCAGTCCTCCGAAGCCAGGCCCTGCTCTCCGCATCAGGCCCTGCCCTCCGCAGTCATTCAGCCAGGCCAGGGCCTGCTCTCCGCAGCCGAGCCACGCAGCCTAACCCTGCGTCCCGCCGCCGTGCACCGGAGCCCGGCCCTGCGTCCCGCCGCCGTGCACCGGAGCCCGGCCCTGCGTCCCGCCGCCGTGCACCGGAGCCCGGCCCTGCGTCCCGCCGCCGTGCACCGGAGCCCGGCCCTGCGTCCCGCCGCCGTGCACCGGAGCCCGGCCCTGCGTCCCGCCGCCGTGCACCGGAGCCCGGCCCTGCGTCCCGCCGCCGTGCACCGGAGCCCGGCCCTGCGTCCCGCCGCCGTGCACCGGAGCCCGGCCCTGCGTCCCGACGCCCTGCATCCGCGCCAGGCCCTGCACTCCGCGGCCGTGCAGCCGCGCCAGGCCCTGCACCGCGCCGCCCCCGCCGCGGTGCCTCCACGCGAGGCACTGCTCGGCGCAGCATTGAATCCGGGCCAGGCCGTGCTTTGCGAAGTTCTGCTTCTACGCCAGGCCCTCTTTCTCCTAGCCGCGCAGCAGGGCCAGACCCTGCCCTCACCAACCTTCCCAGCTCACCAGGCCCTGCTCTCCGACGACGCGTGTCGGGGCCAAGCCCTGCCCTCCGCAGCCGCGCCACCCTGCTAAGCCCTGCCCTCCGCAGCAGGAGTACCACTTCGGGCTTTGTCCTCCGGAGCCGCCACACCCAGAGAAGAACATCCTCTAGCAGCCGCCCTTCTATCCCTGGTGACCAGAGTCGTCCTCCTTCTCCTGGGTTTTCCTTAAGAAGGCTTGTCTGCCAGAGCAGCTCACGCTCTCCTGATCCTGAGGTCCAAAGCCTTCCTTCCCAGCCGCGTTGGCATGCTGTCCGTATGCGTGCCTCCTCACCCTCACCTCCTGGTAGGTTCTTTCTTTTCCCTGGGCAGTATGGAGAGAGTTCCTCCTCTTCCTCCTCCACCTCCTCCTCTTCTCCCTCTCCCTCCTCCCCTGGGCTTCCTTCTCAGAGCCCCTCCTCCTCCCCCACTAATATTTCAGGCCAGAGCTCCTCTTCTTCTTCCCCTAGGTTTGGTGGCCTGGGCTCCATCTCCACTCCTAGCCCTGCTAGCCTTAGGCGTGCCTTGCTGCCAGAGTTTGATGCCCCAAGCCCTGTCTCTCCAGAAGAGCAGGCTGAAACAGAGAGCATCCCTTGCCCCCCTACACCTCCTATACTGTGACCCTCCATGCGCATCCTCATAAGTCCCAAGAAAGGAGTCAGCATGCGCCCACTGCCCTCAATGTGCTATCTGCTCCTACAGTTACTTGTAAGGTGTCCAGGTGGTCTTGCCATTAACCAACATGAGTACTTTTGAAGCCCTTGTTTGGAGAGGCAGTTTTGAAGTCTCTCCTCCCCATAGCTGCACTACCTAGCACTTATCTGCTGTTGGTTCTTGATTCCCAGCCCTCTTCTTCCTCACAAAGACCTGCTTTTGCCTCTGAGCTGAGATTTTTCCTTTTCTAAGTTGCCTTTATATAATGAAATTTTTGAATGAATAAAACAAAAATGTTTATTTCATTTTAAAAATGTAGCATTTTTTTTGTCCAAAAAGTTTTAATCCTCTGTCTTATTCACAGGATTAAAGAAAGTTGTTAGCATGCTAGCTGACTCTTTAGTAGAAGTGAGAGAGAATAAAATATTATCCTAGCAATTATTTGTTCTCACTGTCTAAAATGGAGTTCTGTCTAGGAAATTCCCATTTATATGCTATATACCCTCTTGGCATAGATTATTTGCAACTTGGACAAAAAAAAGGGGACAGGGTTTAACCCAGGGTAGCTGGAGAAAGAATGGTGATGGAGATTCAGGGTCAGGAAAGAGGCAGGATATGACCCTGTCTGTGTGTATGTTGGTGATGGGAAGTAAGGAGTGTTGGAAGAAAGACTCGGGATCAGGAAGGGGAGAACATCTCAGTTTCTAAAGGAGGAAAAAGTTTATGTATCAGGAACAGGGGCTCCTGAGGTCTGGGAGAGTGATTCAAGGTTAACAACTGATATGAAAACTAGCAGATATTTAGTGAAAAAAATGTGTTAGTGGATAATCCCATTTTAAAAAAAAATTGTGAGAAGGTATTTGAGGGTGAGTGTGTATGCGTGTTTGTAGACATATTTGGAGAACACTAGATGGACATATACCATGGTGTGAGCAGGATATATCTAGTTTTTGGAATAACCGGTGATATGGTTTTCTATGTTCTTCATTTTCCACCTTGACCATATTGCTACTTCTGCAATGAAACTCAACTCAGCTGATTTTCAAGAAGTTGTGGAAACATCGTAGGAGACTACATTAAAGGAATGGAGTAAATACACATGCACACTCCCCAAATCCCTTTTCCTACTTACCCATATTTCTCCTCTCTTTGTTTTTCTGGTATGTAGCCCATGGTGGCATAGACCTGGGCAAAAATGGCCCTATTCCTGGACCTCACATTTTAGAGGTTCCTGCTTAGGCCCTCTTCATGCTATATTCAGACCACAGAGCTAGGAGTCCACCGGGACAATGGAATATGCCAACACCCTGCAACTTTTGTAGAAAATGTTTCAGGTTCACTCATTCCCCAAGGCTGCTTCCAGTCCTGTAAAGTCCTATTCTCCAGGTCCTTTCTAAGGAAGGGAGGTCTAAGCCTATGATATGCATACTCTTTCATCCAAATAATGGACAAGCAGCCACTGTTTGTAGAAGTGAAGAGCAGACAAAGCTTGGAGGTATAGGCTGAAGTATTCTCACAGATGTGGGGCACCTCTTGGTATAAGACATAGCTGGCAGTGGGAAGAGATAAAAGACATGGGCCAAGGGCCTTCATTTGTACTTTTGCCCCAGACATACTGCAAATGTTAGTGACTATCCTGTACATATAATTAGCTCTGTTGCCCAGCCCCAGAGAGTTAGAGACATGCAGGGATATGTATTTAGGAAGCTATACCATGTCCTTGGAGGTAGCTCTGACCATACAACTCCCTCATCTCTCAGATGTTGAGGGAAGCAATAGTTTAGGTTCTAGGTCAAATTCCTTTCTGCAGTGAGCCAGCATTCAGTGGGCTGAATCAGAGATGCCCCCACTCTACTTCATGCTAATGTTTTTGTGGGTCTCCTCAGTATTTGATCTGCTTGGGAGTGGACTTTAATCCAATGTCCTTAACTCAAGCTCACCATACTAAAATCTGCATAGCCCCTATTAAACACAGGCTCTTTTTCCTTCTCTTGACCTTTGGTCCTCCCAATACTCCCTCCTTGTGAAAGTACCAAATGCCATCACACAGCAGACCTCCATATTGCAGAATCCAATGTATAATTTTTAGATTTTGCCTTGACTTTTTGACGGCATTTGACACAGTGATCACTCCCTTTTCCTTTTACACGTTCTTCCTTAGTCTTTAAAACTGCCCTCTTCGTGTTCACCCTACATTCTCCTAGACCTTCCTCATTTTTTACTCCTCTAAGTGTTGGATTGCTAAAGGCCTGTTTTTGTTTTTCTTATGTTTATTTCCTAAGATATCCCATCTAGCCCCATATTTTTAAATGCAGGTATCCCCTGCTTTTCAAAAGTTTGTGTTATACCCCTTTGCTTTTACAAAAGACCTACATTAGTACCTGTTTTCATTAACTGCAAGAAATCTAAAGAGGATTTTCTCTTTTAACTTAATGGTAATTCTTCACTTTATGCCATTTCAGCTTACAGAAAGCTTCATAGGAATGTTCTACTTTTGAATAGTGGGGGAAGCCTGTACTCTTTTAGACTGATGAATCAAAATAATGTGTGTCCACTCCCACCCATTCCCTTGTACTCCAGTCATGTATATACAGCTACTTATTTGGCTTCTCCACCTGAGATGTCTAAAAGGCATATCAAGTTTCAGTAATAGGAAGTTCTGTACAGTTGATATATAATGCTAGCCACACATGTAATTTACGATTTTCTAGTAGCCAAATTTAAAAATGTATGAAGAAACACATGATATTAACTTTAATCATTTATTTAATTGTGTCTATCTAAAATATTATTCAACATGTAATCACTATAAAATTAATTAGATATTTCATATATTTCCTACTCTTTAAAAGCTGCCGTGTATTTATACTTAACAGCATGTCTCAATTCTGACTAGCCACATTTCAAGTACTCAATGGGCATAACTGTGGACATGTGTGTATAGCACAATTTTAGACCTCATTTCCTTAGTCTCTCATTCATTTCCTATTGAATTGTGATTCTACCTCCAGCAGTTTCTCATAATTGTTGGCTCCTGTCATTTAAGGCTTGTTGGATGAATTTAATAAGGGCTTCTATTTGTGCTATAATGTCCTCTAGGACAATGAAGAGAAGAGAGATAGGCCAGATGATCATCCAATAGAAGATAGAATGTGTCTACCTGGCCTTGAAGGGAGGGAGGTTGGCAGCTTTAGGAACTTAACCTGGTTGTGCACTCTACATGTTGGTTGGGGGAGGCAGCACTGTCAAGCATGACTCGGGGCAGGATATGCCAGACCAGGACCTCTAATAGCGGCAGCCTGGTTTACACTGTTACAAGGGAAATCTTGGGTTAGGCCAGACATGGTGTTCACACAAACCAAAGCATATTTAGAACCCTCACTCGGAGGAGGCCAATATAATCAAGTCAATTTCTCATCAATTGGGAACTCCAGTGAATGACCCCAGACTCCTTTAGCAGTTGCCTTGGGTGTTGTTTGGAACACAAAGGACATGCTATTACTGCATTAACCAACTTATTGTATTCCCAGGGCAATCTAGAATCCTTGGTAATATATCATTCCATTCAGGTGCTACAATGGCCACTCTTCCTGTGCATCCAATCTGCTGTATCTACTGAAGGGTCGGTTGCTAGGGCTTGTACCGGAGCTACAGCATCAGCTTCCTGATTGCCAAGATATGTTAGTATCTTAGCCAGGATGTGGAAAACAGTGAGGAATGCCTTAGACTCTTGCAAGCACCTAAATGTCTTTCCACATAGCCTGACTCCACAAAGGCTTATTCATGATCATCCACCCTTTGGTTTCCTATCGTCCATGCCCATGGGTTAATTCCATTAATACAGCCCAAATTTCACTGCAAAGAGTTAATATCCGGGACTCAAGAGTGACCACCAGTTAAAAGGCTCTAAGTTTAGCCCCTTGGCTGGCTGCAGCTCATTACTCTTTCCATCCAGATGGTGTCAGTGTTGTGCAGAATAGTGACTGCAGTCTATGTAGTCACTTTGCCCTGACTAGACCCATCTCTACAGGCTGCAGGGACTGCCGCAGGAATAGTGGCAGGGCCATTTGGAGAATTTACACCCTCAGTGGGCCTATAACACCTGCAATTTTAGACAGTGGGCTGGTTGTCAGGGTGCTCCTTTGCTGTAAATAGGGATGCCACTTAAAGTGCAGAGGTAAGTCGATGGAACATATTCTCAATCCACACTTTGATAACCCTTCCAGAGCTGGGGCCAAAATCCTACAGGTACTCTCTCCTACTGTTTTCTCTGCCACAGTGCCCAACTCCTACTTTCCAGAGTCACAGACACATTTAATTTAAATGGGAGATGCCCAGAGCTTTTTGCCTTCTCAAAGGTGGCTTGTTGCTCTGATCTCCAGTCCCATACTTAACCCTTTT